GCGTGTGAGGACTGTCAACGGAAAATAGCCGGCAAAACGGCGAAACAATGCAACCAGTCTACACGAGAATCATATGATCACATATAGCTCATCCCTCAGCAAGACCACGATATACGGGGCGGGCATTCGTGATGCTTTGCCATCAACAACAGCAATAACAGCAACAACAGCAACAACAACAACGACGGCAACGACAACGAGCACAGCGTTAGGCAGTCAAACCCGTGAGTTGGTGTTCCGAAAGGACGAGCGTCCTCAACTCTTCCAGATTCCCGAGCTGTGGAGATATCTGGCCTGTGAATCACCGAAATATTGGAATATGACGTCACAAAGGGTTGGGTAAAGGTAACCACGGCAGGGAAATGCGAAGAAAACAACAAGTATAAACACAAAGACGCATTCAGTAGGTATCGTGCTGGGTTGACTATCTACAGCTCGGAGGCAGGTCTGGTACGTTCTTGCTTCATCCCGTTGTCCAGCCGACGCTGTCCCGAGGTATTGGTCGATTGGCTGAAACCTGTCGGCGTTGCCGCTTGAGCCCTGGACTGCGCAGTAGTTCGTATCTTTAATCGTTTCGATGTCAAGTCCCGTTTTGCCTCTATAAATGAATGGGAGGTTCCCAAGCCGGACATGGCGCACGGCAAATACACGCGAGTTCCGCGAGTTGTAGGCGTTGGCTGAGGCACCAACAGCGGTAGAATCACGCTGTGGGACGTACCTACATGGCCGGTTCACACCCAACGGTACCAGCGCGGATTCTCTTCCATCCGATAGCGTGATGATAGTGTTGTATTAAGCAACGGCCGACGTCTCTCGAATAGTCAATCTCTAGCTTAGATTCGGGGATCGATGCTTCGCCAAGCCGACCAGTTACGCATCCGGATGTTCATGCGTCCCGTCCGCAACACACCGGTTGCTCGCTTGAGGCGCGTATTCTCCCATGGACTTCCCTCTCACCGTCGAGTTCGTTGTCGCCAAGCACCAGCTCAGAAAGAAAATCGGGTCGGCCAACTATTTTGGGATAGAGCCTGTCATTGTCAGTAGGGAAGACGCTCAGTCGGAATTGGGTTCACCGTCGCCAATAATACGAGACCCCTTGATCGTGCCGTAAGTCAAGACGATCTGTCTTCTCCCCCCTAAATATGATAATATAGCCAAGCCCACGGCATGCAGGAATGCATGCTGCCCATGACATCTACCTCGATGCGCCTGTGAAGTGTTTCAGCAAATAGTCAACGCTCCATCATTGTGTGTGCGTGATTTTTCCAATATATCGTGTGTAACCTTCGCGATACGAGGTACCTGCGGGCACGTTGCGCCTCTTCTCTACCGCACAATCATGGTAGCAACACCGGCACACCATACAATTAAGGCATGACCAAACTCACCGGTTAAAAAGTTTGTGTGTAGGTTCAGGACTTCGACATTCTGCAACTTCCCCAGCTCGGGAGGGATGGGACCCACGGAAAAAGCAGCCAAGGCCAAGTGACAACAAACAAAAAGTGCTGCCGTCTTGAAGGCACATGGGTGGATATAGACACCGACAACAAGCACAAATGCCAACAAAATGTGAGGTGTGCTGAGTGAGAATGCAACACAACCTATCAGTACGGCACTGATACAACGCTCGCCTCCACAACAGCACTCAAGAGCAGATCGTACACTTGAGAGGCAGGGGGGATGACGGCGCTCAATCTGGGCTGAGCTCAGGCAAAAAGCGTGGGCTTTCGCACACTTGAGAGGCAGGGGGCATGACGGCGCTCAGTCTGGGCTGCGCTCAGGCAAAAAGCGTGGGCTTTCGCACACTCACCAGACGAAAATACCGATCAGCGACTGGGGCATAATATCGACCATCGCTGGGTGCTAGTCAGCGCCTGGGGTAAGCACATGTCGTCGAACACCGCCGAATGCCCACCCCCCACCGAGCTTGAAACAAAAGTCTGCAGTCGCTATCCGCTTGTTGGCTTTGTTTTCTTTCGTCCTTTTTTGCCGTTTGTCGGAGTACCATACCCACCCCCGAACTATCTACAACGAGATTCCTTGTGATAGCGACAACATGGGGTAAGGGCAACACAAGCGAACGATCCGGTGACATCGCCATGCACGCCAATAGCAGCAGCCCGAGATCCAGATCGATAAACCAAACCACACAGAACGGCGGCCGACTTTTTCCATCCGTAAACAAAACATTGCAACCGGACAAGAGTGTGGAAAACAACACGCACGCCCTCGCTCGACTTGAAACAGCCGCCAAAACGGCAGTTGCGACGGCTCCAATAAACTTGTACCAAGTACCATCGTGCGGCAGATGAAGCCAGTAATCTTCATTGCCTGTGCGTCATTTAGCTCTTCGTTCCCCGTGTCCACACTTGGCTTTACTCCGCATGTATGAGCCTTTACACAGACAGATCCAACGACGGGAGTACGCTGGACGCCTGACGTTCACGACCAAACAAGGACACTATCCCAAATGCGCGGGAACCTTCAGTCCGTATTTGGTTACATTGACGAAACATGGCAACAACCCCTGTGGTATGCGTTCCTCATCACGAGAGTTCCGCTGCTCGCACTCGCACAGTTTGACACACCTGTGAGATAATTGATTCCCAGGTAGATATTTTCCAACGCGGTGAGGTTGTTGAGTTCTGGCGGGAGGTCACCTTGCGGGGCAGCAACAACGGGAGGCAAGTCAGGGCAGTCGAAATATCCGTCGACCGCTGATGAAAACACGGTAATGTTCCACGACACACGGCCCGCTGGGGTGCGAGGTGGCGGGTCGGCCGGACACTTTCTGTGCGAAAGCCGATGAAATTGGATCAAATAGTCTACCTCCATGCCTCACTCAGAATATTTTGTGTTCATCTCGTCGAGATAGTGAGTGCACGCTGAGAATCGGCCCGATATCTCAAATTCTTCTACCAAAACCCGGCATAAACCGGTGAGTGCTGCTATGTATAGCAGTCTCCGTCGAACCCTTAAAGCAATAAAATCATCTACGAAAACGTCTAAATCATCCAACACCCCATTTGTTATTTTTACCTCTGTTTTTTTTGGCGGTAGCCTTGTGATCGAAAACCACCTACATTTCGTGATAGGCTATTCTCGAACGCAAGGAGTCTAGAACAACAAATGTTAGCCTTGGCATTCCCGACTTGCCTTCCCAAACAAGCACGACAATTTCCCCCTCCCCCAACAATTCTACCATCGGGGTTGGGTTTTCGTCGCTTGGCAACGACGTTGTAAAAAAAGCCGCCCCCCCCCCCC